CGCCTCCCCGGTCGGCTTCTTTCGCCGGGCCCCCCGCTCGCCCCCTCGCTCCATCCGGGAGCGGGGCGCGTTTGATCCCCGGCGGGTCGTTAGTGTGAATCCGCCTGACCGGGCACGTGCCTCCGCTGCGGCCGCTGCTCGTGCTTCCGGCGCCCACAGTTTTAATTCAAGTTACTGCCCTGCCACGGGGATGTGGGTTATGTGTGACCGTGAAACGCTTCCGTACGGGGAGCCCCATCTTGTGTTTGGCGGCAGCCTGGTGGGACCTTCAGAGCCTCTGGGTTTTGCTGTGTCTGCAGAAAACACCTCCAGGAGATCCCATCCTCCAGCAGCAATGTCTCCACCAGCTTCACCTGGGACTGGGACTCCAGCAAGACCTCTGAGTTTCTCTCGGGCATGGGAGTGTCTGTCCTTAAGAAGGACAAGCTGGGCAATGAAAACACGCCGCAGGACCTGCTGGTGTCATCACCCTGTCCTCCTCAGAAACGGCAGAAGGTGAAAGAGAAGGAAAGGGACTTTGTCATTGTGCGCCGGCCTCGGCTGCTTCGAGAGGCGGAGTCAGGTACCATCACCCCAGTCCAGGTTTTGTTTGCCCTTCAGTAGGGATGGAGAGTGGGCATGACAAGTCATTCGTACTTTATTCTTTGCCTTTTTTGCTTGTTCCCAACAGAATATCACTTTTGTAGCTAGTGGCTTTCAGGCTTGGGCTGATAAGTCCTGTTTTATGTAAGCCTTTAAGCAAAGGTGGTGTGTCCGGCTCCAGAACTGTGGCCCATGTAAGCCATGGTTAGCTTCTGCCTAGCCCCGCCTGCCCCTGTCTGTGCGCCAGGGGTTTGTGCTGCATGTCCCTGTGTCTGTCTGCTCTTGTTGCTTGGATTTGGGTGGCCCCTTGGCCCAGCAGGGCCCTGAGCTGCATCTGTCGCTCTGCCCAAGGGACCTGTTCCAGGAGATGTTTTGCCACATCCTCACAGAATACAGCTGTGGCTGCCAGATGAATATGGACTATTGGTGCTGCTGTCCCCAATATAATTTTGAAACCCGGGGGTCTTGACTTTTGTTTTTTAACTTCAGCATCTAAGTAGTAAGATACTTGGTCCTCAAGACCAAAGGGATCCAGATCCACATCTCTTGCAGTGCAGGCTGAGGTATGCCAGAGGGGCAGCATCTCTCTTCCAATTGGAGCTGAGCTGTGAGCAATGCAAGGGACCCTGCCAGAGAGCTACAGGGAAGGTGCAGCAAAGGGTGTAAGGGTCCTGGGCTGGAAAGGGACTGGCGGGGGAAGAGCAGGGCTGTAACGTGAGGACCTGGAGCACTTGAAGAAGGGGTTATAGGATGCTGCGTTCCTTTCCCTGGTATCAAAATGTGTTTTCAGTCTGCAGTGACTAAGGAATGCAAAATAAATAAACAGCTCTCTCCAGACACTAGGCTGTCATATGAAAGGTGGGAATGCCCTCAGACAACCCTGCTTTTAAATAAGGTAGGGTGCTGGGTCATAGGCAGCTGTTCTTGAGCTCCACCATCCAGAGATCTCCCGTGTGAATGGCAACGCCTTGTGGAGCCCTGTATCTACTTGTGAGAAGTTGAGATTACACCACATCCTTTCAGATAATTTGGGGGGGGGGAGGGGAGGGGAGTTAGCGTGCGTGTTTTAAGGAGCAGTTTGCAGTACCCGCTTTTCTCCATCTACCATGCAAAAGCATATGTCACCTTGGGCTCCCTTCTGGCATCCTGACATGCATAGGAGGGATGGGTATTTCGGGGGGGGGGGGGGGGAAGAGGACTGTACAAGCCTTAGGATACAAAGGAAGTAACTGAGATGCTCTTGTTTCCAAAATGAGTATGTGAATAAAGATTACTCTCATTTTTCCAGGGAAATTCTTTTTCCATAGCTTCAGTATGTATACTAAGCTGATGTTATGGAAAGCTTTGCGTTTGCCAGTCATACCTAGGCAAAGATGGTAATAACGTCTTCCCACAATGGAGAGCTGAAAGGGGGAGGAGTAGTGGGCTGATGTCTGTATAGCTTAGAGAGAGACTGTAGAGGTGCTTTTAACAATGGCATCTGATCAGCAGGCAAAAATGAACCAGCTTTAACTAGAACATCTTTCCCTAAAGGTGTTTCTTGGGATGCACTTCCAGACGAATTGCTTTTGGCAATCTTTGCATATTTGCCCCTAAATGACTTGCTAAAAGTTTCCCTGATTTGCAAGAGATGGCATCGTCTTTCGTAAGTATTACTTCTCATCATTTAGTACTAAGAAAACCTTTGCTTCCATAGCCTCTTATATGATCTGGTTCTCATCTTGTTTATTCATGTAAAATTCAATTTATGCTGTATGTGGGTTATATGTATGTATAATCAAAAGATGGCTCATCTATTTTAACATTAGTAAATTCTATTAAATAGCTTTCCCTCCTCTCAGTCTTTTGTGACATTGAAAACTTTCTGTGGTTGTACTCATAGTTCTGAACGTTTCTAACTCACTAACAAGTAAAATTCTGTGCCTTAGGTTTGATGAATCTCTCTGGCAGACTCTCGATCTGACTGGTAGAAATCTGTTGCCAGGAGTGATTGGACAGTTGCTGCCTGCAGGTGTTACTGTATTCCGCTGCCCAAGATCTTGTATTGGGAATCCGTTGTTTAAAACAAGCAAGTAAGGCTTTTTCTGCATGTTCTGGATCCTGAAGCCACATCTCAAATATTCACAGTTTCTCTGTGTATTTTTGGTTTTAAGGCTTCCACCAGTAGTAGCGTTTATGCTGTCTCTGGAATGTGGAAGAGCTGATCAATGGTTAGGCATGTGTTCAAATAGGAGGATCTGCATTCACCTGTCAGTTATTTAAAACCAAGTTAATGTGATTTTTTTTTCTTTTTAAGTATCAAGCACCATCATCCACTTGCAATTTATATCTTGTAGAACCAAGAATTGTCAGCATGTTCAACATTTTTATATGGGAGGCTTAAAAAAATTATTTAACTCCAGCAGGCTAGACTTTCAGGTGTTATGATGAATCCTGTAAATGCTTTGAAGATAAGCATTCTGCAGTTTTGGCTGGCAGCTTAGCAGTAGGCCCAATGAGCTTAGTAGTATGTCCAGTGTGCAGCTGAATACAACAGTATAATTATTTTCTGCAACCTTTGCACATTTTTAGTGTATGAGGTATATTTATGGTATGAGGAATTTGTGGAGCAGGTTTTAATGCAATTTTAGTAACCTGCCTTTCTCCTTTTTTAGACCTCTCAGAGTTCAGCATATGGATTTGTCGAACTGCACAGTGTCTGTTGCAGATCTCCAGAGTATTCTTTGTCTGTGTGAAAGGCTGCAGAACCTCAGCTTGGAGGGACTAGTGCTTTCTGACGACATCATCAAGTGAGTGACATGTTTGGGAATATTCACTAAATACCTTCTGTTTGGTGCTATCGTTTTGTGCAGACTAGTGAAAGAATGCAGCTGAGGGTTCTTCATTGTGGGAGTCTTTTGAAATGGCCAGTTTTAGGCACCTAACAGAGCTAGCTGGCAGGCTAGATGAGCTGCCTCTTGCCTCTCTATCCTCCAAGAGATGAGGTGAGGAGGAAACACCCCTCTGGAAGAGTGTTTCTTGGTGGCTTTTTTCACTCCCCAGGGTAGGGGGAGCCTGGAGAAACTGCTCATCTCTTTCTGGGGTTTGTGTCCATTGGCTGTTCCTGCATCCAAGCTCTACAGCAAAGCTACTTTTATTTTCCCATTTCTGTGCTCTCAAGAGAACTTTGTGTTTGGCATACAGGTTCTTTTCCATTTTAAGTGGTCTCAGCAGCTCTCCCACCACATGTTCGTTGTGCTTCTGCGCTATTTCTCACTTCTTTGTTGAACTTCAGTCAGTGTCTGGAAAATTATAGATACTGTCAAGCCAATGAACTGTTGTTTGGTTAAACTGGAAAGACACTAATGGGTGTGCAGTTCAATCACATTGCGTGATTGTGGAGGTGCCAGGGACCATAGGTCAGATGGCAGAGACTTTGGGTGTCCTGCTTTCTTCTTTTGAGCTTTCTGATGCCTTCCTCACACCGGGGGTGGGGGGGGGGACGACACCAAAACAGAGCACAAAAAACCCAATATAGTTTGGCTTTTGATACCAGATAAAAAGTATCTGAAAATTGGGTACTAATTACGCACCAATGATGGAATTTTATTGCCTTGTGTACAGATGTAGATACTGTGTGTAAGCTTTTTCCCAGGTTTTGCCAACTGCATGTCTGCTGTAGCCTTGCAAACATGCATTCAGGTGGATGCTATTTGGACACGTGTTTTGTTCTGCAATAACCTCCGTCTTGCAGAGGGGTGGCTTCAGAAATGAGATTATTGCTTTTTCTTTTGCAGAGGTGTAGTCATCTCTAAGCCATGGTGTGTGTTTAATGGCATACAACAGGAAAAGGTGAAAAGAAATTGTTTCCTTTTAAACTTAGCAGTTTATAAATATGCAGACTTGTCAGGAATGTCAGGTAAATAGGCAAGTATCCCTTTTGAAGTTGTGCTGTGATGCAGCAAGTAGAGTTGAGATCCCTAGTGACTCTTAGGTTGGTCGGTTTACTAAAGATGCGGTGCTGCATGTTTAACATAGTTCAGTGCCCGGGATCTTACATCATCTTACATACATCACACATCCTAGCAATGCAAGCAATGTTCCAACATTTAAATTCTATGACTTTTCTTTTTTCTTCTCTACAGGAGCATTGCTAAGAATCTCGGTTTGATGCGACTAAATCTCTGTGGGTGCTCAGGGTTTTCTGCAGAAGCCTTGGAGCTGATGTTGAGCAGCTGTTCTATGTAAGACAAATATTTTTTGCTATTCCTGAGATAAAGGATCCTTTTTATTTTTTTCATAGGCATCCCAATTGTACTTGTCTCTAATACCTTTTTTTATGAGCCTGTTTCTGCTCCTAAATGCCTAACAGCTGATTATTAGCTGAATAGTCAGTTTCTTTCTATCAAGCTATTTTCTTCTTTAAAAGAAACTCATGAAAAACTGCTGAGGTACATCTTGGCTATTAATCACCCTTAAAGGAAGTCTAGTTGGTGGGTAAACCCCATTTATGTTTTATTATCATGTAAATTTGATTTTCTTAATGAAAGCAGTATGTGATCCTCACAAAGTGAAAGTGTGTGTTTTGAAAACTGAAAAGTGGAGTCCCAGAGCTCCCTTTGCAATCAGAGTACAGCATGAATGGCAGAAAACACTGTGCCTTTCCATCCATGATAGAATAATCCTTCAGTAACCTTCTACTTTATGAAGCACTGTGTTCAGATTGACAGCTCCAGTGATTAAACCATCTGCTGGCACGAAGTCACTGAACTGAGCCCCAGTCAGTCTGGGATTTATATCCTGATCTTTCTGCTGACTTCCTGTGAGATACTAGACAATCTACTTAATCTTTGTTTCTGCAAAAGCATGTTTTTAATCAATCTGCAAGTTAGTGGACAAAGCCTTAATCTTTCTCTGCCTCCCATGGGTAGATAATGCTTTCTATTGCTTGGTCTGATTACTTGGACCATGAGCTCTTTAGAGAATGGCAGTCTGTACAGTGCACAGTGAATAGCAGATGGCAAACCTGATCCTAGGAATGCTAGTGGCGATTTAACTGCTTTTTCATTTACATAAAGATTGCCAGCTAAATGCTCTAGTTGTGCTGTTCTCTGTGTCTTTGTCCTCTGGTTACATCTACAGCACCTCCACACAAAACAAGTACTTTGTCCCAGCCCCAAATGGTGATAGGCTATAGGTAATCAAACACGTAAAGAGAGTTAAGGTCACAGCATGGCAAATGCTTATATAAAACTATGAAGTATTTTACGCTAATTAGGATTAATTGGTCATCTGACCAATGCTAATAATGGATAGCCTTTTCCTCTCAATGTGAACATCTGTTCAGTAGTAACAGATTCAGGTCACAAACCCAGAAGCAAGATGAAAAGACAGTGTCTCCCCATGGCAGTCCCCAGGAAGAATCATTTCATTTCCTAAGATACTACTGAATCATTCCAGTTGGAAGTGGCCTTGGGAAATCACTTTAACCCCTTGCCCTGAGCAGGGTCTAAATTCAGCACTGGCGAGGTTGATGAGGACTTTTCTGGCTGGATCTTGAAATCCTCCGAAGACAGATTCCACAGCCTCGCTGGGCTAACTGCTCCAGTGCTTAATTATTGTCATAGCAAAATTTGTAGTCATGAATACAGGAAGTTGGTAGTAGGTGTGTTAAAGTTTTTGCCTTAAAAGTATCAACTGTAATAGATAATATCAGAACACAAACTGTATTTCAGTCATTCTTCCAAACAACTCTTTGTTCATTTGTGTGTAGGTTGGAGGAGCTGAACTTGTCCTGGTGTGACTTCACAGCCACCCATGTCAAAGCAGCAGTCAATCATGTTACTTCAAAAGTAACCCAATTAAATTTAAGTGGATATAGACAGAATCTACAAATACCAGGTAAATAGCAGCATGGCAAACCTTTATTCTCACTATGGGATAAAGCAGCAGGCTTTGTTTTCTTCTGGTTAGCATCTGCTGTGTGCATAGAAAAACCCTGCTCTAACACTTACTTTGTGCTCTGTATAGCTTGATGTTCTTGCTATCAGAGAATTTTGCTCATGTCTCTGGCTTACCCATGAGGGTTGAGATGACTTGTCTTCCAAATTTAAAAATAGTCAGATGAAAGCTCATTTCATCTTCAGTTGAGAAGTATAGCCCTTACTTCAGAAGTAAGTCCTGGAAGCAGGATACGCTGGGTCCCATGTTCCACTCTCAACTGTGAATTAGCCTTCCAGATACTGTTCTTGGAACCTTCTTAAGGCTTCTGCTATTGTGGCTGCTGAAGGCATCTTCCAAAAGAGAACAGTCTTAGTAACTACTTGAGTTTCAGCCTGACACGATGTCCTACAGATACTAGTTAATTTGGAAGCCAAATAATCTCAGTAATCAACTATTACTTGCTAATAGTTCTAGGAGGGAAGGTTGGGTAAAGTTGCAGGGTAATAGAAAATGCGGAGAAATCTAGATTTGGAGAGAGGGCACAACAAAATGGACAAGAGCATAGGTAAAGGGTGAAATGGCTTTGGTGGTAAAGAAAAATTAATTTTCTCAATGAGCAAATGTGACGATAGGGCATTGGCTGACAAGCAGGTAAGTGACACACAGGCTGTGACCTCTCTTTTTTCTGTTTAAATGTCACACAGACCTCAGCATGCATTCCCTTGTGGGGAAATACACCAGTCTTTTTATCTCAGCCCAAAACCCATAAACAAACATACTACATAATCTCCTCCAAATCAGGAATTTGAACCTTCTGTTGATCTGGCCATTACAGACAATGTGTGGAGCTCTTCTGTTTGCTAAACACTTTCTATGAGTAATTTTACTCTGTTTCAATGCAATTTATAAGGCATAAGATTTGAATAGTTCACTAATCATAATAATTTAGGTATTGTTTTCTTTAGTTTTTGCATGCGAATTCTGAAATACCAAAATCTTCTTGCATGTTGTTTAACACCTTGCTAATAATAGTGGCCGCCTAGGTGATATTGGAGCCACAGGTGATTCTATGCTATTTGCAGACAATGAAAAGATGGTCTCAAGAACTTCACACTTTAAATCAGGGAAACCATAACTTTCTGTCATGAGGGAAGAACTTTCCGTGGGTAAAATAGAGATGCCTAAAGAACTTGATGCTTTGAAACGGTATTGGATATGTGGATAATTTTTTGGTATTTTTTCATTACATGTAAGAATTTCAGGCATCTCACCATTACTGTGTCTTGGTAGATTTCTACAGCAGTATCATTTGAATGATTTACTTGCTAAGTTGCTGGTGCAATTGACTTTTAGGGACGCTTCTTTGCAGTAAATGGATCTGTTTTGCTGAGGGTTAAAAGAAGTCCCTGTAGGGTATCTTGACAGGCAGACTATATGCTGTAATTCTTAAGTGTGTATCTTTTTAACAAAAAGTTGTGTTCCAATTGGGGGGTTCCAGTAGAGAAGATATAAATGAACATATATGGAAGTGAGTAGGCTGTATAAAGCATGTTTGTCTTGTTACTGAAAGATAGACTGACTCTGTGTGACCTCTTCTCAGATGTTAAAACACTGGTGGAAAGGTGTCCTTTTCTCGTCCATTTAGATCTAAGGTAAGAAGACCTGTGCAGTTGGTCCTTAAATCCTTATGGTTCAGGAGATTGCCAAGTCTGTCGTGGTGCAGTAATTATATAGCAATAATGCATGATTGTGTAGGGTGCACAACCAGAAAATACTTTCTATGCTAAACTACAAAAGCTTTGCTATCTGGCATGACCTAATCTGGAGCAGGTAACTAACTTGAAGATTTCTTTGTTACCTCAGCATAAATGCTACATACATATGGGATTTGTTAACTAACAAGCAATTGTAGTTGATAGGTAGAGTGGAAGGAAGCAGTTACATGCATACAGTTTATAAGCCTAGCATCCTAGAGGGCTTAGTTCAGCTCTGGTATAAACTTGTTTACTTGGCCATAGAACTGTAAAAAAAAAAAGTGTATTTTGCTTTTGACCCAGTCAGTTAAAATATTTTGAAATCTTGATGTGTAAAGTAATTGCCTTTTCATGGCATAAGTTCTGCTGCAGAATATCTGTCTGCAGAGAAGCTTCTTCACTTGCCCTTCAGCGAAAATCAAAATCCCTCCCCTGCAACATACACACACACACACGAAATGGGTTACTTCCATACTGAGCAAAAAAAATACTTCAGTGGTAGAAAAAGAAGTTGATATTTATTAAATTTCTCAGCCTGAATTTTGGAAATAACAAATTTACTTCTGCTTTATACTTAAACCTCTATTTCATGTGCTCTCATGTACAGTGACAGTGTGATGTTGAAGCCTGAGTGCTTCCAGTATTTTCATCAACTCATCTTTCTACAACATCTGTGTCTTAGCCGATGTTACCAGATATCACCTGCTGCCTTAGTGTAAGTAATCTCTAAATGGCTTTGGTTTGCTATTCATACAGAGGATAAGTTAAACTGGCTTTATTTTAGGTTTAGAATTGCAAGTACTGTTTTGAAAAACTTACTGGTATGAGGAATTAGAAAAGGAACTGAGATAAAATAACCTGACTGCTAGAGCATGTACCTTCGAGAACCCAGGCTGGAACTAAAGGTATCTGAGATAATCTTTCCACTATGTCAGTCTGTACTCATGGATCTTCCTGCTCAGTGCATGCATCATGTCTTTCCTTAATGGCATTATACTCCTGGGATTTGTTACTATGAGGTACAGCTGGAGGTTCCACTCCTGCCAATGACCAGTGTTGGCTTTCAATTATGCAGCAAGGAAGGTATCGTCCTTTGGAAAAGTTAACAGAGTTGACAGTACTTGCTGACTAGCTAATCTGCTTATATTCCTTTGCTTTTGTGTGCACCTGTATCAGTTATTGGTTGCAACTGAAATACAGCTTAGAGTTACTTGCTTTTGAGTTTTTTTTTTTCTGCCTTTATTAGTATAGCAGCTATCCATCTTAATCGTCTCAGGAAGGATGTCGATCCTGAGGAAATGGTCAACAACAAGAAAAAGATTGTGAGAGAGGAACAGGACTATCAAAATGGGAATCTGAAGAACCTTTTCTGTAGCAGCGTGTGCTGTCATGATGATAGCTTCTGTGTCTCTGCCTTTTGATTTTTGTCCAATACTTGCTTATAGATACATAGGTCACACGATGACTGGGCAAACATGAAGCAATCAAGAAGCCAGGGCTGGCTACTCACCAAAACATCATAACAAATTGGAGACTGATAGTACCTAGGGGCTTGTGTCCTCTGAGCCACATCCTGAAATTTCATCAGGGGCAATTCCTTCCACGTGTTCTAAATATTTAAGTCCAGGGAAATGAAAGGGGAGGAACCAGTTTGTTTTCACTCTGAGAGAGAGAACAGCAAGAAGCAATTTATTCAGCCTGTTTCTTGAATTATCAGTACAGAGAACTAGTTTCAATTAAATATGTGCTTTTTAAAAGTAGGATGGGGGATTTAGCTTAAGTAGTTACATTACTTCTAAAAAGATAGTAGAAATGCAGTTATCTAGTTTGGGTACAGACTGGAAAAATGTTTTCAGGTTCATGATAAATTTCGTATTTTTCTCTTTCTAGAGAACTTGGTAAAATTCCAACATTAAAGACTCTTCAGGTGTTTGGAATAGTGACTGATAGCTCCCTACAGCTCCTCAAGGAAACGCTTCCTGACATGAAGATCAATTGTTCACACTTCACAAGTATCGCAAGGCCAACTGTTGGCAGCAAAAAGAATCATGAGATTTGGGGCATCAAATGCAGATTGACGCTGAGAAATCCTAGTGGCTTATGATCATGTACAATGCACTGGATGTGATGGACACACTGTGTGTAGTGAAGCTCCTTAAGAAGCAGAGTGCTGGAGCACCTTTAATCATAGTACTGTTATTGTAAAAAGCATTCTAACTTGGTCTTATGCCTTAATGTAATGTCATAAATGTTTACAGTATTTTTTGTACTTAAAGCCTTTAGAAATCTGATGATCTGGGAGCAATTACAGAATTTTTCTTCGTCTTTTTCACAGGGGATGTTTTTTAAAAAAAATACTATGAAACAATCATTGTAATTAAACAAGGTCAGCCCCTAGCAACTGTTGCAGGTTCTGATGCAGCTTTTGTTGCTCTAAGATGTTCTAAAGGTGCTTTTGGTTAACTCTTCCAGCTCTACAACTCCTGAAACGGCTTGTAGAGGTGCTAGATGTCTTAATAAGGCTTATTAAGGAATTGTCTTCGTCTGAGTTTGCAGAACTCAAAATGAATAATGGTATTAAACCTATTCAAATCCTTAATTGAACAAGATGTACAGTAAGATAAGAAGCTACCCACTGTTTGTGAGAGGGACAGAGGACTGAGTCTGAATTCACCAAACCTGAAAACAGTAAATAGGGGAAGGGATGTCTACAGAAAAATAGCTGAGACAGCTCGATACTGTACAAGTTAAGGAGCAGTATAAAGGAGCTACAGTGAAGTTTTTGTTTAGCAGGCCACAAAGGTAACATCTGCTTTTAATATTCTTCACTGTTAGCAAAATATAGTCTGAAAAGCCCATTCAGAATAAGCATCTGTAAAAGTAGGTGCTGGTTATCATTTCATGTTGTGGTGCTAGGTTTTCTGATTAAGTATTACAGAACCTTAATGTAGCTTCTGTGAACTTGATCTCAGATGAAACTTCTTAAAAATGTTCTCTTACTTCCTTTAAAGATTAGGATCTTTCAACTGCAACTGATAAATTGGCAGAAATCCTGCAGGGGGAGGGCTCAAATGGTTCTAGATCTCAGACCAAAAACAAAACATGGGACTGCAGTGTAAGAGTGCTGAAAGGAAGAGATGCTTTGGTGCTATTAAAAGACATCAATTTCTCTTTTATAATAGCTTATGCTTGTAGTATGATTTCAATTCTTGTCTCTGTAACACTAACCACTACTGTCTAGTGTTGGTTTTTTAAAGTCATATGAAAAGCTGAGTAACTGCCAAAAAAACCCCCCAAAAAACCTAAGGATAGGGACAGGTAATGACTTTGATCTGGGTCTATCATGAAGGTCCTTGTGCATAAGCCTGGAATGTCCCAGCAGGTCTAAGTGTTAGTTGAGAAGTCCTAGGGCAAAACTTGCACCCTGTGTAGGGCATGAACACGCTGTTGTTCCCATGAATGCAGTAAGCAAGCAGGTGGTGAATTTATTCATGGATGTTTAAGGTTAGCCTACAGCATTACTGTAGGGCTTGTTGCATAGGTACAGTGTTTCCCACCTCAATCTGAAGAAAGAGTTCAGGAATAAATACCTGGCAGTACAGAACAGATTAATTGCTGTGGAAAGATTGATTGAGTACTAGTATTTGATATTTAACTTGACTTTCTATAGTAGAGCAAATACAGTATTATCTTGTTAATCTAAGTTGTCTTGTTTTTTATTGAATTTAACAGATGTAACACTTGAGTCACTAATGGGCTTGTGCCCCTTGCAGAGGAGTTAATGGGCAACATACCTTGTGAAAGCTGGAGTGGAGAAGTTATAGGAGGTTGGAGGATACTGGATATTCTGCTTCACAGTTTGCAGCCTTAGGTTTATGCCTTAAATTACTTCAAGAAAAAAAAGTAAATCTTTGCAGCGCAGCACGATTTTAAATTCTTCTTCCTGTGCACCATGTAACCCCACACAACTTCTCTTGCATATAATAACCATCTAAGGAATTGCTATATTGTACAAAAAAAATGGATGGGACGCTTTCCCTGACTTGCCACCAACTTTGTGTCATGGGTTTAAAAAGAAATTTGTCCAAGCAGTCTTAAACAATGGTGGTTTAGAAGACAGGGTGTTATCACCAATATGTTTAGCATTTAATAGACTGTGCTTTAAAACCCTGTACAGAATTGGGATAGTCATATGGCTTTAGCTAGAAGCAATAGTCCTGAACTTGGTTTTTTTTAAGTACCCAGACAAACATTTCTATTGCAGGTCTCTTGGTTATGATGGCAGCTGTAGCAGACACATAATGGAAGTCCTCTGGATAAGGTGCATCACTGACCTTTTCCTAACTGAAAAAAGTTACGTGGGAGCTCCAAGCAATCCATACCAAAAACTGCTACATAGATAAGTCTCTGCATTTTACCTAAAGCATGAAGGCTTAGAAACCATTATTTAAAAGAAACTGCACAGTAAGTGAGAAGCCGAGCACATGAAACACTTCTGAAACTTGAAATAAGGCACAGGACAGCTTCATGTATCTTAAGTTTTTAATTTTTTATTACATAATGTATAAACACCTTTTTTAAAAAAGCAAAGAACGACAGTTCTAGTTTAGCAGAACACAGTGTGGGCTGGCACTAAGTGAAAAGACCA